TGAATTCTCACAGACATGTGATAAATACATTGTTCATTCACGTGGAATATTTATAAAGTTTCATTTAAAAAATAAAAAATAAAAATAAATAAAAATAAATAAAAATAAAAATAAAAAAAAATAGAAGTAATACTGTAAAGTAATTAGAATTATAGAATAATTAGAATGCAACCTCATCATTCAGTCATTCAAATATTTTGAATATCTCAATGGTATGACAGAACTTTAGTCTTTCAGATTAAAGGCAATTTTATTATTATTGTTCATCAAATGATATAAATTAACGCTAACCTAATAAGGTGAACGGGCCATCGATGACGAACTTTAAATAATTCCAAGAAAACGAACAATTTATCCAAACCTTTTAAACTCTCAACTCAAAAAATTTGGGGGATATCGCATGATGTTATGCAATGCATGTATGAAATATGTTCTAAACAAACTAAAAAGAACTAAACAAGCTTCGATTTATGAAAAAAAAAAAAAAATTTATAATAATAATAATAATAATAATCAAAAAAGTTTTACCTCATGTCTTGTGATTAAAAAAACGTGAACCAGTTTATAAACGAGTTTCACTATGCAGTTATGCGCTACATGTATGGTCACTAATAATAGTCAATCATATGCATAATCACATTTGCCTATAGAACTACGGTTTTGAGTTCTGGAATTGACCCTTTTTCTATTGTATGTATTACATACGTACATATATGCGTACATGTGCCCGAAATTCCATCCATACATCTACATTTTTTTTTATTCTTTTTTAAAATAAGTTTTATGTAATACTGTAGATGTAGTAACCGATAGAATGAATAGCAACCTAGCAATCATGTACGCTTGTTTTTATTAAGTTGAAACGTGAGCAAGATAATGTAATTTCGCATGTCTTTCGCGTGTGCTATTCTTACAATATTGAACATATTGAATAGCGAAAGAATTGGACCGAAACAGGGGCGCATACATGTACGTAATATGCTCCTCGTGCATTTGCAGAAAAAAAAAGATACAAATTTTAAAGTTTGTTTAAACAACGAATCAATATACTGTATACTATATATATATAGTACTTATTTATTTATTAAAAATTTTATTTTAAAAATTTCGTTGAATGAATGCTATTCATTGTCCCTATTTATGCGCATTGTTCGGCTTTTTTTTTTTTTAAAAAAAAAAAATAACCTATTTCGTCTTTTTCTTGTGAACAATATTTGTAACATCGGACAATTCTGCAATTTGAATTTTAAATTAGGAAAACAGTTACTCACGTGCGTGATACAACAAATGGTTTTACGCCAATTCAGATTGTATAAATCTGTAAATGTTGTATGATTCGTTAATCTGTCGATTTTAATACTAGTATTTCTTCCAAAAATGATTCAGGATCCGAAGATCGATCGGATGCAACATATTGAATTACTGAATTTATTATGCATTTTTTGAACTTTCTTTTCATACGTACGCAGTGGATGTGAACGGTTAACATTTATTAATAAATAAATTTGATTAAAGAGTTTTTTGAAAAGGGAATCATTATATCAAAACGAAGATATTATCAGTAATTTAGGTGAATCATATTATTAATTTTATTGAATACTTAATAAACTTATTATAATTAATATATATATATTATAACTAATACATACTATAGCTAATACATATTATACGTAATTAATACATATTATAATTAATATAAAGAAATATTATAATAGTCTTTTTTTTTTCTCATAAATTATGGTGAAAATGACTTAAAATATTTTAAGGTTTATCCTTGATTTAAATTTCATTGATCATTGCAATATATATGGGAGCTTAATTAAACATGTGAAGCACGCTAAAAGACATTAAAAAAAAAAGAAGCAATAAGTTAAGAAATAGTTCCAAATGTGGATTAATATAATAAATTTGAAAGATGTTGAATCATGATTTTCGTAAAAAAACTTTCATAAGTGCATACAGTAAATTTTAAACCCAAGATAACTTTTATGCATAGTAACAAATATTTTTTTAATATAGTTAAGCATAAACTATAGATTATATATTATAAAACGAGTAAGAGCAATAATTATATGCTATTCTAAAGCTCGAAGTAAATGGTTAAGAGATGGTCTTTTAAGGTTAAGGTTAAAGTTTCATGTGTAGAGTAATGTGGGGTACACTTTTTATACCGCGGTGGAGTGGAGATCTACTCCAAATAGTTACAAAAAGAAAAGAAAAGAAAATAAAAAATATCAATAAAAAATAATAACGATAAATACAACCACTATAATTATTATAATCGTCATATATATATATGTATATATATATATGCTATCAGATATAAAAAGAACCACGCGTTTATAAAAAATGTCAAATAGACATTTAATTTAAGTATTAGCCAATGAAATACAAACAAAAGCCATTTATGCTGAACGACATAAATAAAATTATTTTAACAATCAGATTAATCTTTGATTTCTTGCGCATTAAACAAATTGAATAAGGTGAATTTATTGAATAGCATTAGATAGTACATCATATATATTTCGAATACATAATACATAGTGCATTGAATAATAATACTGTACATTGAAAACATAGTGCATTAAACTTGAACAGTATACTGAACAGTATACTGAATAGTATACTGAAATAGTATACTGAAATAGTATACTGAAATAGTATACTGAAATAGTATACTGGAATAGTATACTGAATAGTATACTGAATAGTATACTGAATAGTATATTGAATAGTATACTGAATAGTCTATTAATAAATATTAATAAATTTTAATAAATTTTAAATAATACTTGCTTAGTGTAAATTCTAGACAAACAAACGCGCGTTTACGTAGTTAAAATTTCATTCTGAAAATTCCATAAATAAGTTTTTTTTTTTTTTTGAATAATGCTTAATTATATAATTATGCTATACTTGGAATTGTTGTGAATGATATACGAAAAATGCAATCTTTTGATTTATCTAGCATAACTTGCAGATGTGGTTGTCCATTGTATGAAAATAATTGGTGTTACGATGTCTTTAAATAGATTATTTTCATATGAAGAGACTGTGAATATTCTTACTATAGCCATTAATAATTAATTTTATTGCTTGCAAGGGTACTCTTGAACCGTGCGTTAAATCATAGATTACAAGGATACTTTATGAATGTTGTTATATATCTATTTGTTTATTGGAAGCATTTTCGAGACCGAAATTTGTTATTGTTTTCTCTCCTTACAGAGGATGTGTTTTAATGTACACTAAAAGTGTCTAGAAGGGGATTTTAATCAAGAATGGTTAAATGGCGCGTTTAATAAAGGTAGGGGCATCCAGAACCAACAAACATCATATTTTTTTGCTACAAAGAACACCAAAGAGAAAAAATTTAACCGAAAAAAGAAAACCTAATTGTGGCGTACTTAATTGACAAAATCTACTGTAACACTTTAATACCGATACAGTAAAATATACCAACTACTATGTCATGTGAATGTGGAAAAAAAAACATTATTCATTTATTTGTATTGTTTCTCTTTTTGCGAATCAGGTTTAGGATGTGTGGGCGTTGCCAATGTAGTGGCCCAATCTAGGTTTTTTTTTCTACTGGCCACTTTTCTTTTTTTTTTTTTGTCTTTCAGCCCATTCGTTCTTGATATTGAATTACGCCGAAAATATAATGTACACAACATGTCATCGTTATTCCGACCTACTAATTTCATTAATTTCATAATATATGCTATCACAATTTTTTCTTGTGGTATTCTACTGCGTAGTTTTTAATACAGTAATACCTAGTGCATAACTTACTTGCTGCTTTGTTTACGATCTGTTGTTAGAACAACATATACCCTTAAATCTGTATGATTATAACTGTGAATAAGCTAAGAGTGTGCCACAGCATAATACACATAATACAATAATAAAGGGAAAAACGTAACAGTTTTTATTTATATTTTTTTTTAATTAATTCATATTAAATTTATTTATGCTATATTACTGTAATGCTAAAAAGCACACCTCCTTGGTACTATAAAAACTCGTCAGACAGTATGAAGAGCACAAAAAATATTTTGCAACGTTTGCACATCATCTTTCGTGTCACCCTATTTTTTCTTAAAATTTTTGAAAGATTACACACTGTTTCCCCGTACAACGAAAATATTACTTGAAAAAACGGACGCTCTCCAACCTAATTTGTCTTAGAAAAAAAAGAGCATCATATTAAATTATTTCTGTTCTGTGCTTCACATGAATAAATTAAAGTTAGTTTAATCGTTAGGCATCTACTGTTAATCATGATTGTATTTAAAACATCTGCATATATATATATATATATATGTATGTATACACACATATACATATATATATATATATATATATATATATATATATATATATTGTATATATATTAATAATTTAAAATTTTTTTTTTTTTTTGTACAAATTCATGTTTTTTATTATTTATATATATAATATATGAACTTTATACTGTAATTTATTTTACGCTATACATATGTATAAATATTATAAATATATATACATATATAACTTATTTTATATTTTCTTTACTGTTATTTTAATATATTAGCAAGCCCCTATGCTTCTGCTTTTTTTTTTTAACCCCCAATTTTTTTTTTCTTTTCATCACTAAGAAAACTCATTCGGTTCACAAAAAAAATTTTTTTTTAATCTTATAAATTATTCTTTTCACACGAGACTTTTTTCTATCAAACCAAACTTTGAATTTTTAATGAGTCCAGAAAAAATAATAATATAAAAAAAAAAAAATCCCTTTTTGTCATTTAGCTAAAATCTTACAAGTTGATGTTTTTTTGTTTCAGGTTTTACGTCAGATATATATACTCATAAGGTACAACTCTTTTTCTAAACCTTACCTTGACATTTCTGCTAGTAGAATTGGGAATTTAGAATTCGTAAGACCATAGGCCGAAATTTTTTTTTTTTACGAACAGGGTAAAAATATCACGAAATAAAATCCCATCGACGGAATGATAGCAACGTACAGTCAACCATCTTCTTTTGCACATCAACATCAAAGTTCCGAACCATTTGAAGATATCAAGAGCAATAGTTCTTCAAATCTTCATGGAACTTTAAGCATTGTTAAAAATTGTGACAGTCCATATAACAATTGTGCTATTCAAGCAAGCTTGAGCGAACAACCTCCACAACACGTTCAACCATCCACTGGGTCACGTCAACAAACTTTTGGCTCCTCGACAGCAAGGCATTATAATAATAATATTCGAACATCTTCATTATCTTCGTCAAATACGACAACGAATCGCAATAACTTTAACGATACTCGAATTTTTACAACGGCCTCAACAACGACGGAGCAACATCAGTTTTCATTTGCAAATCCTCGCAGTGGATGCAACAACAATAATCGTTCAAATAAAAATATAAATATGTGTCATAATGTTGGTGGCCTGAATTCAAAAGAAACTAATGATTGGACCAAAGATACTGCAAATGATTCATCAGAATTAAAATATCGTGATATTCTTTTCGAGAATGTAGATTTTCCTCCAAAAAAGTCTCGTTGTGCTGATAATAAAAATAAGGATGATGACTTAGATGATTCGAAAAAAGATCCTTTGGGGACTTCAAATTGGCGCCTTTATACAAAGGCAAAAGATGCTTTACCTAACGGAATACGTCTTGAAAATATTTCTTGGAGAATGATGTTTCTCGCTCAAAAATCAAAGAATTCCGAACAAAAAAATCAATCGCTTAATGACTCGAATGCGACTATTCCAACAAATATTTCTATATTAGGTGACACTTTTACAAGTAAAAATTCCGTTAAGAAGTCCAACGTTAATGACATTTCTATTCAAGACAAGTATGTTAAATATTTCTAAAAATTTTTAATTATCTTAAATTTATTTTTAAGTATTAAATGAAATTTTATTATAATAGAAATATAAGTAGCCTGAAAGATGCTGACAATGCGTTATTAAGTTTAGATATGGATATGGATGATTCGCTTAACAAAATTGACCGTCATTTGCATGTTGATATGGACCAAGATGATTACAATTCAATGCTTGATGATCACACTCATGCTCCCTTTGTGATGTCTCCCCCAGATACTAGTGCGAGTAACACGGATGATAATCTTTCCGTCTATACCTCAACTCCTTCTCCTGTGCTCACATCTTCTACTATTCCGGCCATCCCAATTCCTGTGTCCTCTGCTTCAAACAATTATAACCTTCCTTTAGCAACGTCTCCTACGAATTGTTCTTTTGAATTCATTACTCCTGAGGGACTTAGATTTACAAGCCCACAAAATTTTAAGAGGAATTATATGAATTTTCCTGGAAAACCTATAATGTATACTCGTTCCTTTGCTATTCCTGTACCTCGATCTCAAGTTTTCAATTCTACTGGTACTCATGGATTAAATTCTAAAAAGGTGTGCATAAATATTAAATTATAATTAATTAAAAATTGATAATTATATATATTGTATTATGTATATATTTTTCTACATTATCTACATATATATATATATATATATATCATTTATATTCTATATTTCAAATATTTCAAATATTTTTTAATAATCTATTTATTCATTTATTTATAATTCTTTTTAAAAATATAGACGACATTAAAACCGCAACAAATCTTTCCATCACCAATATCGAGTATAACAATACCAAGCGATACTCCTGATGACTCAGACGTGGAATTACCTGAATCAATATCTTCATCAGCGACAACTACATCTACCAATACACAGTATACATTAAATTCTTTCAATCCCGCGTTTGATCAAACATCACTTGATTATCCTAGTTCCTTAATAAGTTCATCAGCTCCAAATTATTCCTATAGCCTTTGTGAAATTGCTGCTCCTGATGGTTTAAATGACAATAATTCAATTTCATATAATCAATCAGCTGTTAGCACCCCTCTTACACCTGCCGATAATATAGGTGTTTACTTCCCCGACTTCAATCATGGAAGTGATATTGGTGCTGATGGCTTTTTCTATTATATGCAAGGCAGTCCACATATTAATCCCTCACTATTATCTACGTCTCCTAATATTATTTATGATTTTATGCAACAAGATCAAAATTCTAATGCTGGAGGAAAGAATAAAAATTCTAATTTTGAATTTGATGTATCAGGTAGTAGTCATAGTTCTAATGGCTCATCAAAGATAAAAAGATATTCGTTAGATGGTTCATCTGTCGTTGATATGAACTGTATAAACAAGAACAATTCCTTGAATTCTTCTCCCACATTAACTAGTAGTGAAGCATCTGAGTCTGACACTTCAAATGCGATACCATGTAAAAGACAAAGGTCGTCTTCACGTACATCATTACCATCTATTCCTACAAATAATTCTTCAAATTCTACTTCAAATAACATTAAATCTCCACCATCTCCTTCAATTTCTAAAGATGGTAATAATTGTGGAAATAATAATAGCAATAATAATAATGGTAATTCTTCTAAAAATGCAATGTCAACCACTTGTACCAATTGTCTTACACAAACCACACCTTTATGGCGTCGTAATCCTGAAGGTCAACCATTGTGCAATGCTTGTGGGCTATTCCTTAAACTTCATGGTGTCGTAAGACCCTTAAGTCTTAAAACAGATACTATTAAAAAACGTAATCGCAATGGGGGTGCTGTTGCTGCTGGTAAAAATCCAGCTAAAGGTGTTAAAGGAACCGTACAACTCGGCCCAGGTGGTGCGAGCATGGGAGTTATAGGAAAACGAATGAATCTGTCAAATTCAATGGCAGCAAGATCACAAAATGGTAATTCACCAGCTCCTGCTCCAGTATTATCAACACCGGTATCAACTGCACAATTTACCAATGGATTCAATGGAGGACGACATCAAATGGTTGGTGCAATGCCAAAGAGACGGAGATTTTCGGGTGATGAGCAACAATTAAATTCACAAACACGACCTAGTGAAATACAACAATCGCAAAATTATGGTGTTCTAAAACATCCATCTGGTCCATTTTCTTCTAATGGAGAACAAACCAAACTACAACAAGTTTTGGATATGGTGCACGCACCTGATAATAATTCACCAACTTCTGTTTCATCATCAGCTGGATACAATACATATGCTCCTTCAAATGTATCACCATCCAATACACCTCCTAAGCATAATCCACGTAACGTTCAGCGTTCGCATTCATCCGGGCAAATTATGCACACTCCCTCAACATCATCTCAGTCAATATTAGTGCATTATCCAATGGTGCAATCGGCACTATCAAGCGAGAATGATAATATGATACCTACAAACGGCAACAACTATACTTCACGTCCTGCAATGTTAATAAGGCACCGATCTTTTGTTAACTAAAAGTGATTCAAATAATGATAACACAAGTTACAGAGGATCAAACTTGGATTTTAAAAGATTTTGATTGAACTTATAGTTATTTTTGTTTACCAAAATCTAACACAATAGAAAAGGACTATTGATTTATCCATATAATGCCAAATTTTTAGGCGTGAAGTTTTACTTGTCAGTTGTCAGTTTGTGGAATACATTTTTTCTTCGCTACTACGACTTTTTTTTTTTTTTTTGGTTTTTGGTTCTAATGCTAAACGAATAATTTGATCGAGTTAAAAGGTTATGATTTTTTATTTATCAATTGTGATTATATACTTTTTTTTTTTATCTTTGTTTTAAACATAAACCACAAGATAACAGTACATTAAGATGTTCTGTTTTAATTTTTATTTATTTTATATATACAACATCGCAGCCCCAACCCCCCTCCCAATACATAAAAATTTGTGAATATAATTTCATGTTTCCCTCATAGGATAACATTCTTACAAAAAAAAAAAATTCCGAAAGTCCAATTTTTTATCGATTATTTTTCTTAGCACTTTTTTATGATTTTTTAAAAATTTCTTTAAACAACACACCGATTACATTTTAAATTTACAACTGTACAGTATAATTTTTTTTAACTTAACACGAATTTATATGCTTGTTTGAAAATTTTACACTTCTACATATACCATATGTATATTTATGTTAAAAAAAAAACAAAAAAAAGAAAAAAAAAGCATGAAACTTTTTTTTTACCAAAGCATTACATCTGGAATAATTATGTGCATAAAATACAGTGTTCAGTTAATGAATGTATAATTTGCATTAAAAAAAAAAACAAAAAAAACAAAAAAAATGTAAAGAAATTAATTAGCTCGATTAATGATTAAGAGTAAAGAATATAAATGTAATGTTTAATATACATATAAATAATTTTGTAAAATAAATTGCTTCCTTTTGACTTCCTTTTGACTTTATTTACATGTTAATGAATATTACATAGTATGTATATGTTTAAATACTGTATATTACATGCTGAATGTCAGAAATATCATCGAAAGTACTAAAGTGAACTTTTTTTTGTCTTGGTAATTGACCCTACCTAGAGATTTTAGCAAGAATTCATGGTTTAGCCAAAATTATAACTTAATTCCTTAATGCTGGCTAAAATAATTGATGATCGTTTGTTTAAATTATGCCTCTGTGACTAAACAAATTTATTTTTTATTTTTATATTTACTTTACTATTAGACTTTTAAATTTTTTAGCTAATCGGTATAAGCAAACAAATAATTGTTTTATAAACCATTCTTATTTAATTTTATATCGTAAAACATACGTATTTTATCTGTTGAAAATTTTTAATTATTACTTAATTGTAAGGACAAAATAACTTATTGTACTGATTATATATGTTACAAATTCGACTGTTAAAGTAGCTTTAATATTAATTTGACTAGCATTAAGTTAGGTAAGAGGCATTACGATTAGCTAAATTTATTGATATTTAAATTTTATATACCGTAAATTCTCGAAATAACGCCCAGGGTAAAATTACGAAACTTGGCCTAAATTAAGCTTAATTCGGGCCAAAACTCAAAATAACGCCCATGCCCGCTATTTTGGAGAATTTACGGTAAAAATAATACAGTATAATAAATTTTGTATAACAAAAATAAAGCTTAATTTATATATATATATAAGCCTTCTTTATTCTTTATTAATCTTTTTATATATAAATACACTGTAGTTTAAAACGCACAGGTTTAATGAAACCATATTAGATAATAATTAGATTACCGATAGATCACTTATATAATATAATATGGATATAAAAGGTTACTGATTTTTAAAACTTATAAATCTTCGGTTTGTATTCTAATTATAAAAGATTTTTGTAGAAATAGGAGACTATTTGGAAATTATTGATAGCTTTTATAGTTATATTAGTTATTCAATTTAGTTTTTTGATTAGTATTTTGGTTTATTCAAGAAAACTAGGTATATATATAGTTTTTTTTAAATAAGTTTATTAGTATAACTAATAGTAAAATTATTCAATAACTTATATATTTGATACAATATATCTAATTGTAATAATTTTTTAAATATTTTATATATAATAAATTTAAAAATTAGCCAAAATTAATCAAAAATATTTATTTAAAAAAATAAAAAATATTGTTATTATTTTTATTTTTATTTTTTTTTTTGGTATTAAGGTGAGGCCTTGTTCATATCTTTATTGATTAATTTATATAAGTAATTGCATATCAACTATATAAAGACTTAATTTGTATAATAACAAATAAATATAAATTATATGCAAGAATAAAAGCTCAGACT